AAATAATAATAATAATAATAAGTAATAATAACTAATAATAATAATAATAATAATAATAATAATAATAATAATAATAATAATAATAATAATAATAATAATAATAATAATAATAATAATAATAAACAGTAATAATAAACAATAATAATAATAATAACAAACAATAATAATAAACAATAATAGTAAACAGTAATAATAAATAATAATAATAAATAATAATGATGGTAAATAATAACAATAATATTAATAAAATAATACCGTTGCACTACTTTACATAGTGATGAAGATCATAAATGACGAGGTGACGAGGGATATTATTGATGGTAACATTTAGTGCCATCCTGGGATGACCTGTTCTGAGAAGCTAGACAACATTGTCATGTGGAATTTTTGATTGTGCTATTAATCACTGAGGAAATATTTGGATCACCAATCTCTTCTCTGATCCTCGGAATTGCATTTGCAACTTTAATCATTGTGTTGAATCTATCACAATGATAAAGAATGATGATTAAAGTTGATGCGTATTTAATAGCTTTATTTTAAATAGTAAGAAACCGGTGCGGATTTAGTAAGAGCCTAAACCGGCAAGATGCCTAAATATCTGAACGTCAAAAATTTGATGTCAAAAATGGAACTACAAGATTAACAACAATTTTTATAAGATGACCAAAATACTACAAGACTAGCACACTGATCATTGTATTAGACGTGAATAACAGACAGATTAGTTTAGAATGAAAAGGTCAAAGTGGACTGGTCAAATGAAAACAACTCAAAAACAAACGCACATATGTTGTCTAAAAGATACATTAATGAAAAACGTTTAGCTGACCGTAATAACTTTACTATATCAGTAAAGTATTTTCTGATGAAGTTCAAATGTAAAGGATTGAACAAGAAGAGAAATATGAAAGGTGACAACAAGCTGTAATGATAGGAAGGTCAGGTAGGACAAAATGGATGACAATAAATTGTTACCATATAAAAGCTAAGGTTAAAAAAAGGGAATCTGTTCGAAATGAAGGTATCAAGAATCATTGATTGATTGATATATCGATGATTAAAAGGAATGGAAAAAAAAGTAAAATGCCAATAGATAAGGATTTGGGAAAATATTTGAAGGATGATGAAAAGAGGGAATGAAATTAGGAAAGATTTTAAAATGATGAAGAAAAAAAAAGAAGGAGATTACTCAATTCGTACCACCAAATACAACCATTTCAGTAAAAAAAAAGAAAGTAGAAATAAGAAAATACAGGAAAAAAAAGTTAGAATAATTAAATACACAGAGAAATGAAGGAGAAGAAGTTGATAAAGCAATGATACTTTAAATATGATAGCTTAGAAAGGAATAAAATATCGTTGTATTTCATTGGCTTAAAATTAGGAGTGATTTGTAAATGAAATTATTTTTGCATAAATAATTTTAAGAAAACAATATAGCATATGATTTAAATGATTTTTCTATTTAGGTGAAAATTCGATGAATTTGATTGATGAATAAATCTAAGTTATAATTGCAACTTGTATATCGTATAATTGTAGCCATCATATCTATCAGTTTTTTTTTTTATATTACAGCTAAATTATAACTGATAAGAACTAATTACTAAATAAATATATTAGAATCAAGAAAATAATAGATATTCAGAATTAGCAAATTTGGAAGTGCAAAAAAAGAGAAAGATTAAAGGAAGGTATTATGATGAATACATTGAAAAGACGATGAGTAGTTGAAAAAGAAAGTAAGAAAGTGAATAGATAACAAATATTTGACAATTGTTAAAAGGAAGTAGAAAAGGAAATAATTTTGGATTGTTAAAAAAGAAAATATAAAAATTTCTACAAATAAAAATGAAATAATAGTAGATATTTATGGATTAAATTATAACAAAAAAGAAAAAAAAAGGAAAACAAAAGTAGGAAAATTAGCCGGAAGTAAGTGATTATCTTATCAGATGATTCATTTTGAAATATTAATGCAATTAAGTTATTACTTCGATATGTTAACATTTTTTTTTATCACTGATATGGATGGATTATTGCACCTCAAAAAATGATAACAGAATAGATACTGAAAAAAAAAAGGAAAAAAATAATAGACAGTGACAATAAACAGATTTAAAATATTATAAAATTATAAAATATAAACTAAATGAATGAAAGATTAAATAAAACATTTCGTTTATTATCAAAATATTATTCAAATTGTTTTTTTTTACACCTTTTTTTCTCCATTGTTATTATTATGAAAGATTATAAAATTCTAGTTAATCATAAATTTTAGAATTTATGGTTAGCTACGACTTTTTCGAACTCGGGTTAGGATCTTTTTTTCTTTGTTTAAAGCTGGATGATCAAGATTGAATTCAGGTTGGTTTTTTTGCTTGAAGTTGGGGATTAGGATTGAACTCAGGTTGTTTTTTTTTGTTTGAAGTTGGAGATCAGGATCGAACTCGGGTTCTTTTCTTTTCTTTTTTTTTTTTGTTTGAAACTGGAGATCAGGATTGAAGCATGAAAAAAAAAAAGTTCAAAATAACCCAGGCATCTTTCAACATGACAATATAAAGGATATCATGAGATGAAGTTAAGAACAATTTTGTGCAAAAATAAAAAAGAGAGAGAAGATTCAAGTATGGCAGCGATGATTCATCGAAAAGATCGATGATCAATTTTCGTGCACGTTTTGTGTTGCAGAATCAACAGAATCGCTGAAATGCTTTGAAGTTGCAATTTTTGAATCCTTTGAATCCTTATTTTAAATTCATTGGAATCTTTGTTCAGATACATACATATCAAATGACATTCCAGGAAGTAAGAGAAGCGTTAAATCAAATAAGGAGATAAATCAGGTAGTGAAAAAATATCATTATTAATTATTATCATTATTATTATTGTTATTATCATCCATTATTATTGTTATTATTAATAATAATTATTATTACTATTATTCTGATTATTTGAATAAGTTATTGTAAATTTTTGAAAATGGAATAATTTTTTTTTATTTACCATATAATGATCATATTATGACTGTATCGTTTAGTCAATAATTGATGAAAATATTTGCTATAATTTGATTAGTTTAAGATTTATTACTTTGAAGTGAGCAATAATTATTGCGTGCAGCCAAATAATAAAATCGCTATATTAGAATAGTTTTCTTTTTTTGTTAGCGTGACAAAATAAATAAATTTCGGTGTATTTGAGATTAATCAACCGATAAATTAATTTAGTTAAAAAAGAAAAATAAATATAATTCAATCTTGTTTGAAATAAAAATTAATTTGTTAAAGGATATGAAATAAAATAAAGGATGAATTGAATGTGCTACATCTTGTAAGATCATTTTGATCATCAAAAGAATTATTAAATTCAAAAAGTATAATTATAAATAAAAGCCACGAAAATAATAAGATTTTCTAGTTTGATTTAAATTTTAAAACAAAATAGAAAATGGAAAATATCATCAGCATAAGGATTAAGGGAATAATTATTTACTAACGGATGATAATATTTTCTATTTCTATTTAATTTACTTTTTATCAAATATAAAATGAATAATTATTGTTGACACTAAAAAATTTATTGATGACATTGAAGAGATTTGAATGGGAAGTAAGTAATTTTTAATATTTTTATGCAATTTTAAAATAACTTCCCAATTATTAATTATTAATGCTAAAGTAAAAATATTTAAAAAAAGAAAAAAAAAGGAAGAAAGATCTTAGAAATGATCAACTTTGTTTATTGACTTATGGACATATAAATAGAAAAAGATAGAGGAATAATAATGAATTGTAGAAGAGTGAAAATAGCAATAATATAACAATAATGGAAGGAGGAAACATAATGATCCCGATTATGGTAATAGAGAAAAAGGAGAAAAGAATGTTTCGCTTCCTGCTTTTTGACCTGTTAACCTTTGATCTTCAAGATGTTGAGTAAAAATAAAAGGATAGGTCATATTTGAAGTCAAATTCACATCATTAAGGGTCAAATTCACATCATTAAGGTTAAATTTTTCCAGAAAAATCACTTTTCTGGGAATAAAAATTACGGCTTAATAAAAAGAAACATGTCAGAAAGTTTAAGAAATAAAATTTAAACTATTCATTTGCTTGATTAATGAATTTAGTTTGTTACTTTAAAAGGATTAGTAACAAATATTTCTTTCAAATAATTTTCTTCTATTTGTACATGATTATTTGTGAATGACTCTTTTGACAATAGTTGTAAATAAAAGGAAGCAAAAATTTTTGTAACATTTTTCCTTTTAATTAATGAATTAAGATTGTCATTGAATCATCAATTATTTGATCTGTTAAGTAATGTGTTATATTGTAATTATCACATTTGAACAAATTAATTTATTTAATTTGAAGATAAACAAATGTTGATATTTTTACCATTATTCTTTTCCTTATCTTTTATCAATTTTTTGTCATTCTAAAGTGGAATCATCAATAAATAAAGTAGGATTATTTTTAGCAGAATTCATTGTTGGATATATTTCAGTGACTTTGTAAATTAATAATCGTCTAAAATTAATGATCCCAAAGTAATAATATTCATTTGTCAAAGGAATGAAAATTAAAATAAAAATTAATTAGACAAAACTACTTGAAAAACATACATTTATAAATAACGAATCGATTGTATGGATTATATATAATCTGTAATGTTAGAGGAATTATTAAATCATCCTAAAATTTTGCAAAATTTTCCATATCATAGAAGAAATTTGATCAATTCCAATATAATTTTTATCATTTATTATTAGAGAAGAAAACGCATTCATGATTTTTTAAAAACTTTAACTTCAAAGTATACATTCAAAAGCTAGCTTATACTTATATCCCATAAAATATATTTTCATAGCAATAAACTGTTGGAGTAATAAAAGATTGACGAACTAAGTGAATTCTATTATTTGGCTGATCGACTTGAATACACAATTGTATTTATAATTTTAAAACTATCTACTTATTCAATAAATTGTATAATTTTGTGACAGCATGAACAGTATACGTTACATGAACAAATGTAGTAAGTATTAATGATATATTTGAATTTCAGAAACCGGAAGTAGTCAATTATTGCTTCGGTAACATATTACATAACAAGGAATACCTAATGAAAATTTTCTTCCTATCATTTTTCTGCATTTCCATTGAATCGTAGGTGATAAAAGCAAAATTCAAAGTGATAAATTTCAAGTACGATCAATTGGCCATTGTTTTAGAAGGCATTTTATAATGATTAATTCATCATTCTTCCTGCATTTAAATCATTCCATAGGCGGATGACCGTTTCTTTTCGAATAATCGAACCTGAAAACAGTTACATTACTTTTGCATCTTAGCATTTTTAATTAAATTTTTGATTTTTAGCAACCAAAATATAGTATGCAACATTTGAAAAAATATATTGTCATGTCGTCCCGTTTCCATTTGTTATCATATTTACATTTTAATTTTTTTTTTTAAGATTTTTAAGATGTTGGAATTGACAAGAGTAAAACTGAAAGTTTAAGAAATTCATTTCAACTTCTATTCCCTTAAAAATTGGCCGATTTTTCTTGCTAATAAATCCTACCAATGCTTTTTAGAGAAAAAAAACGAAGGATTAAAGTAAGTTAAGTTCATATTCAAAAGAATCGAAAAATGCTTTTAGGCATAAAATGAATCAATCCAATGGAATTATTATCCATAAAGATTCCTCCCTTACATAAATAATTTTTACATCCATTTTCAGAAAACCTTTTGAAATTTGGGCTTATAACGAAACATTCGCCCAACTCATCCTGGCTACTTTTTCAAGTACCCGCGTCCATTGGTTCCTATCAATATTACCTTCAAATGCAAAAAATATGAAACTATTTGATATTCCAATTTTTGAAAATATTTCCTTTCATTTGTAAAATAGACTACTTGGCCAATCCCAAACTCAAATTCTGAATGGCCAATCTCAAACTTTTTAATATGTTGGAATTAACAAGAGTAAAATCTCAGGCCATTCTGAATGGCCAATCTCAAATTCCTACCGATTTCATAAATTTCAAATTTTCAGCATGTGACATGGAAAACCACAAATCCTGAAATTTTTGTGATAAAAAAAATTTTTTTGGAACAATGACTGCTTAGGTAGGAAAGATGAACAAATTCTGATATCAGAAAAATG